CCATCACTCCCAGCGTGGTGCTTGTGGTCTTGAAGAATCCCATGAGGCAAATAAACTCCTTCTATTTTTTCCTATAGTTTTTATTCCTCTACTTTGCTAACAAAGGACTGGGAAATATATCGACCTGCCCCAACAAAGACCTCAAATCATGTTTTCAGTGGTAAAGGTACATAAGACACGTATGAATTACCACTACCTGAATCAAAAGTAATCCTGAAACACCAAAACCATTGCTATATTCAGGTAGATTTCAGGATATTTCATAGAATCATATCATAGAATCATAGAATGGTTTGGGTTGGAAGGGACCTCAAAGATCATCTAATTCCAGCCACAAGAAACAAGGTAGAAATGTCTGTAAAAAGCAAGCCAATATTTCATTATTAATAATTCACATTTTCAAAATGTAGGTCGGAAATTTTTTATTTTTAAATAATGGGTATGACTTCTAATTTTGAATGAGGAGAGTTTCCATTTTAAAATGGACCTGGAAGGATGAAAGCTATGAATTCGAAAGGCTGAAAAAATCTTCCATACGATGCAAACCATTTCACTGCTGGCTGAACGGAGAACCACAAAGGTGTATTTCAACAACAGAAAAGATGACCTAGTCTAATCCACATCGACCTCCTTCCAAAACCAACAATTTCCAGAATTCCCAGTGGGAATCCCTCTTTGTCATTGCCGTGTGGTGACAGAGATCCCCACTACCATCAACCTTGGTTGGAGAAGGACAGATCAAGACACTGCGACATCTGCTCCCTCGTTGCAGTTGTGGTTTTCCACTTCTCACCACTCAGGATGATTGAGCAATGTCTTGGGGCTGCAAACCTTGGGGACTACCTATGTTCCTACAAATGAAGGCAGCAGAGGGTTGGGATGATTCGCTCTCACCAGGTTTGTAGACACTACCATAGGTTATGTGATGAAACAGCAGCTCTGAGTTTGCAAAGCTGTCAATCCATACCTTTCATCAGCACTTAATTCACTGGGGAAAAAAAAAAAAAAAAAAAAAAAAACACCAAAAAAAACCCAACCACACACCAACCCTTAAAAGCTTTGGAGTTGCATTTCTCATGGCTGCAATAATACTTACAATATGGACTCTAACCGCTTTTTATGTAACTGCCGCTCTTAATCAGCTCAGTATTAGCAGCTCTAACCTGCTCTTCCTTGATTTATTTTATTTTATTTCTAAAACAAACATAGATTTACGATCTCTCTGATTTCCCAGCTTTTATGCCACTCCACTGAGGCGCTTTAAACATCTCATTTATCTCCCATACGTTGGGAAATTACAACCCCCTCCTCTCCAAAACAAACAAGCAAGGAAAAAAAAACCTCCAGCTAAAATCTACACAGTTGGGAAGTGTTGATTTAAACAATAACCCTGAAACAAGATAGGGAGAGACGCGAACATGAAAACAGACTTTTATTTTCCCTTTGCACAGATCGAGCTGTGAGGTTGTTTGCATCAAATGTTGACTTGTTCCAAGGCAGCATCTATTTATATGTTGTGCAACCGTGAGGAAGCAGTGTGAAATAATAATTTTCAGTCTTTTGGGAAAGACTGCACCATTCCATTTGTTTTAGCACACGTTTTCCACCACGTTTTTCCACTTCCACGTCTGTCCTTCTGCAAAGCTGGAAAGCATGGCAGTAATATTAAGTATTGGACTGCCCAAGTGAGGTTTGGATAGGAAGTACATGTGAACATTTTTTCTGATCTGTATCATTTATGAAGAAAATCCTTCCCTAATTAGACAGGCGATTTAAGCTGTGATTGCTGCCGATGGATGTTTGCTGAATACAAAAGGCTGTGCTTAAACACAGTACCCACACATTTTGCACCAGGGAAAGCAACTCCGTGCACCAGCGTTGGAATCTGTTTTGCTAATTGCAAAATTCATCGAATGCACATAGTGCGTTTTTACATTTTTATTGGTTTAGACGCCTATGTGTCTTTCTCTCATTTCTCTTTAGTCTATATTATACAAAACTCATACAAAGCTTTCTCTTCCTAATTAATATTTTGTAAAATATGAGCAAGCAACTCACATTTTTCCATGAATAAAAGGGATAACATTCTCTTTCTCAGCATTATCTCCAACCTCTGTTTTTTTCTTTTTCACTCAAATGATGTTTTTATTTACCCGTGGCAATCTGTGTAAAATTACCACCCAAAAACACTCCTCTGCGAGATGCATCAACTCCATATTAACAGTCAAGGTTGGAATTTTGAATTCAAGATAACCTCCAAACACCAAAACTGTTCCCTGTACTTTTTGCAGCAAACCCAACAATCCAACGCTCCCCCCTTGAAAAGAGAAAGCGATCAAACCCCAAAAGTCTCCTTTGTCTCAATGGGGCGTAGGGGGACAGTTACAAATCTAAGCCCTCCATTCCGGCGCACATCCCCAGATGTAAATAAGCACACAAGCATGTTGCTACATATTTTTACTGAAGCAATTACCAACAGCCTTATCAGCGGCGCGTTCCGCACGGCGCGCATTACTTATCCGTTGTGCCCTCTGCTGGATGCGGCACACAAGGCAAGCGCTATTATTTCCAATTAATTTTTGGCATCATCACTTGGCATCCGCTTTAGGAATGCAAAGCGTGAAATTTGTAGTAGCAGGTTTAATATTTGATCCAGCCAAAAATATTTTTTGCTACAAGGACTTACCTTTGGTGGTGTTTTCCTCCCCGCTTCCCCCCCCCCCCCTCCTCTCCGTGCTGCCGAGCCTTGTTTGTGGTCCAAACTCAAAAATCTGCCACCGAACGCCGTACGTGGCAGGAATAATTTCATGCTGTGCAAAATTTGTTTCATTTCACATCCTGTAAGAATAATTACTTAGCATAATGCCACTTAAGCTGCGTTTCTAGGTGCAAACATTAAGGAAATGGTAAAAGGCTAGATCCTGGTTGGGAGAAAAAAGGGTATTTAGGGGTTGGTGGGGTTCTGTAAAGCTAGATGTTTTTAATGCCAGGGACAACAAGGAGAATTAAAACATCATAAGTGCTATCACCAAATAAATACCAAATAATAAAAACACAATAAATTTGAGCACCTTGATAGCACACTGCCTTCATAAATACAGGACAGTGCTCCTGGTCTGTACTGCCTCAAGTTTCCTGTTCTGTAATGAGGTTTATTTGAAGGTGACAATTGCCCAAGCAGCCTTGAATAAAAGAAGCCCATGTCATGTTACGGACTCATTTTTACATAGAGAACAGGACAAGGTAGGTTTGGAGGAGACTTGATGTGGCGTGTGAGAGGGGTGTGTTGAACAAATTTCAGCATAAGCACCTTAGTATTTCAGGGCACTGTGATACACAGTACCAAGGAGGCTCTGATCTCCCCTCTGGACCTCCCAAGAGAGGAAGAGTTTCTCTTTGTTTAGTCAGTTACTCAAGGTTCACTCTGTAAAAATGGACTTACCTCCATCAGAATCAATCTGCAGTGAAATCCAAGGGCAGCTTGGCCTAATCGAATAACCTCAATTTTAAGGATCAAAATTAAAATTCTGATTCTTACTTTTCCTTTCCTAAATGGTGGTAAGAAATAATCTTCAGTGAAGAACATCTCCTGAGAAGCACCTTATTGCCTCATGCTTTATCCATCAACGACAACACTCCTGTGCACCAAGTAGCTTCATCTTCCTCAAGGCCATTGTGTCTCTTCCTTACTTCTAGTGGGGCCAACAAAGATTTACAAACACAAATTCACTGACGACTGTTAACTCTGTGTTGAGCTGGTTCAACCTGACAAAAGACACATTCTCAGATTTGTTAGGAATGGGCTGAAGAAGTTCTCTGGATGGAGACCAGTATGTGCTACCTCCCACCAGCCCACCACCAGCACGAATTGTGGTCATGGCCCCAGTTCAGTGCCAGATTTCAAGAAGCATTTGGACCACACTCTCAGAAATACATTTTCAAATACAAATTTGAATTTTGGGTGGTGCTGCATGGAGCCAGGGGTTGGACTCAATGAACACTGTGGGTCTCTTCCAACTTAGGATATTCTACAATTGTATGAAATTCCCTCACTTCCACTCACCTGAAACAAGTTATTCCAATTTGTACTCATTCTTGTTTTCACTCAGTTTTGAACAGGCCTTTTTTGAAATGTCAGGTTTGAATATAGCAGAGGAGTCAAGAGGCAGCAAGGGAAAAAATTACAAATTTTAGGAAAAAAACGTACCAATTTGGGCACACAGATCCACCTTGTGGTCTGAATTAGGCAGCAGACCCTCCCTGAGGAGGTTTCAGGAGCAGCAGTTCTACAGATGAGCTTTTTATACTACTCTGTACTTTTACATACGCTTCGTACAAAGCGGTTTTGCTGCTAAATCAAAGGCCAAGACAAAGAGGAGAAATAAACAAAAGGCCCCCGAGCAATCTAAATGGAGGGCTTCTTCCCCTTCGATGTGTTTTTCCCTCCTGAAAATTGGCAAGTTGCTGCCCTATCTGACAAACAGTGTGTCACAGCTGTCCAAAACCTGCACAACTACTCATGCACGAGGGGCAATGTGTGAAGGACACTGTGCCACTGGCATTCCTCATCCTCTCTGCATGGCCCTTGGTGATCACAAAGCATGGTTGCTCCATGTACCAAGCTGGCAAGGGCAGTGCTGCAAGCGCTCGCTCCAGCTTTGCTGGGCAGATCTAAACCAAACAGCCTTTCGGAGGGTACTGACAAGGACATCTTCATCCCCTGCTGTGAGCAGAGCAGCTTTAGTCTTTGTTTGCTCTCCTAGCACTGTGCCAAGCTCCAACTCTGCAGGTCCCTGGGGTGGGCTACAGCCAGGCCACGCTGAGGGCTTCCCATCCCCATAGGCATCACTCAGAGATGCCATCTGTAACGTGGGTGCCTTGTTTCCTGAATCTTAGAGATGCAGAGGCTGGGGAACATAGCAATAGGGTTTTGTGCTCTCTACCCCCTGCCTGATGTCTTCAGGCTGAGGTGGCCCACAACACTTCCAACAGATGAAATGTTTACATGACCTGGTGAGTTTTATTCGTTTTGAAACTGCAGTGGGGAAGACGGGGAAGTAGGGCATTAAGTACATTCAAATCGACACAGCATTTACCGAAAGCAACGCAAACAACAACTCACACAAGAACACAAAAACGGTTCCGTCCTGAAGCACATCCTAGCTATAACTCATTTCTCACCAAACCCAGGGATGAATCAATGGCAGCCAGCGCTGCCCCTGGGCTGCTGTAACTTCAGCATCACTCTGCTTGACGGTCAAGCAGCTGCAAGCCATCCCAAATACCTGTGCCACCCTACAGACCCTCTCGAGCAGGTTTTGGTAATGGATGTGTGCGGCTGTGAGGCACGGGGATTTCAGCTGTGTTTCAGGATGGATCGCTCTGCTCAGCATCCGGCTCCACGACTCTCCTTTCAGCAGCAAATATAAGTTACCAACATCTTGACGGAGGCCAAGCCCGACGATTTAGCAATTGCCTCCCTTTATTTCTTTTTAAAGACCGCGCTGAATCACGATGGGATTTGGGGGTTTTGTTTTAATGGCAAGGCAAGAATTCGCTGATCCTCCCCACGGCGAAGTTACTTTCAAGTCAGTGAAAGTTCTTGGCCCACGATGAAAAGTCTTTGCCAATTAGCGCTCAACAACCTCAATTCATTCCTCCTGGTTCAAGATGAGTAGCAACCTAATAAGGCTGTGATAAAAGGGCAAAAGGCACCGGGTACCCAAAGGGGATTAATGGGCTCTTCCATTTATTTGTCTTCCCAACAGCTGAACTGTTACAAGTATTGACGGGCTTCAAACGGCCCCGCGCCCAACGCAGCCCCAATGGCCACCTCCAGCCCCAGCCCCGCAGGGCCAGGGCTTCCCCCTGGGCGATGCCAAAACCAACAAAGCCCCGGGGATCAGGTAATGAAACTTCAGCTTTTCCCCCTTTGAGATTTATTTACTGGCAGCTGACAAGGGGCAAATTCAGCGCGGATTGTGTAGTCAAGGCCCTGTCAAGCCTTCAGAGGCACCCTTGTGTCGAATCACCTTCCTGACTGGCATGTCGCTGAAAAGCCCTCGGCGCTGGTCCTTAACAGCTCCCGACAGCACAAAGGACACTCCAGACAGATGCCTACATGGCATCCTGCAGCATTTTAAAAGAGAATTAGTGGTTTTAATTATGGTCGTCGTATGAAAGGAAACCATGCAAGCTCCGCAGGAGACCTTTGATCAAACCCTTTTGCTAGCACAATGCCGCGGAACTGTGACTATTCCTAGCAAGGGGCCTTTTCTCGCTGAATGACTCACCAGTGATCTTTGAATGCAGACAAGTTCCTCGCCCTCCCTCTTCATTAGCGAGCATTTCTATACAGGCCCTATATAGCGCACGGAGTCTAGGAGCTATACAATGGGGGGGAAAAAAGAATCCCTACAGATTCTGGCCTCTACTTAGGAAGTGCTGAAGGACTCTGAGTGACTTTATTCATTAAAACAGGTTGCTATTAATTAACTGTCATAATAAAATAAAGAACTATTATTTGCATTTCTTAGTGCGCTCGCTTTAGTAATATGTATAAAAGATGCTTGTAACAAAAATGAATTTATAAGGGAGAAAAAGCCCTCTGAAGTCTCCCCCCTTCACTTTTTTTTTTTTTTTTTTTTTTTTTTAAGGTCTAGGCAGCAGGAGTCTGACTAATTATTAGGGCCGGTTCTGCAAGAGAACAAATAGAGGTAAAACACAAATATGAAAGCAATTAGGAAAATGCAAAATCCTGTTTACTTGGCAACCAACGCATGCAACTGAGACTAACGAAGAGCAAATCAGCTTTGCTTGTTTGATAAACTTAGGGGTGCCACCTAAGAGGAGCTGATAAAAATTAAACTTCTGCCAGCATCCCTCAGCACTGCCTTTCAGCAAACGGGCTTACTAACACACACACGGCTTCGTCTGAAAGCACCAGCAAATCTAATTGGAACAGATTCGCAGGAGGAAATCTCACACGTCCTTCTCCGTTAAACGTTTTCACTTTTGCAATCTGCCATCGGTGATACCTTCCAGCTGAGCATCCAGCACAGCCACCCGTGTTCGCACGTGCACGCAATTCAGACGGTAGCAGCACTCACAGATGCAAGCATTTCTGGTCTCGCTCCTTAAAAAAAAGCATCAACGCTTCCACTGCTGCTCACACCTGGGAATGCATGGGCCGGTGGGAAAGTTCTGCTTGCAGTTTGCATTGCTGCTTTTTACAATACACTGTGATACATCACTTGAAGCAGACTGCGGCTTACATACCTTTGTAGAGCCCCTCTTTTCTCCCAAGCAGATAGTAGAATTCACAAAAGCTTCCAATTATTTCAAGACTATGCAGCTAAGGAGAGGCATCGAATCAAGATAAAGAAAACTCTTGGCTCAATATAGTTGCTTGAATGGATTCTCAATAATGCAGGTAACAAAAGCACTCAAAAATTGGATTCCTAATGCTTTTCTGTCAGCCTGAAGGACTGATTCTGAGAAGTGAGAAGAAAGTCAGCCTTGAGAAAGCTGCATGGAGGAATGTATGACATTCTCTCCCTCTGTACAAACACTTCTGCAGGAACTGACAAAAAGGAAGAGATTTAAGTGAGGCACAGTCGACCTGAAATGTAGTCAATTACAACACAAAGAGTTAAAAAGACACCCCTGAACCGCTCTTCTTCACTCTCCCCTTTGCAACTCACAAGCCCGAGTTTTATTTTTCTTTTTCATTGGTCATTTCTTACCTGCTGCTCGGACAGGAATTGTTTCATAGAAGGACAGGGGAGAATCGCTATGGAAATCATACCGTGAAAATAAACTGGGATGAAAGGGAGAAAAACAAAGAAAAATAAAAGAATCCAAAGAACAGTTTGATTTTTATATATATACAGCACTCAAGTTAGTGCTCAAGTTAGAGGGACCAACAAAAGCCATCTTCTCTTAAAGATCTGTTAAGTTCAGCAACTACACAAGCACCAAAAACTGCACCTATACGTGTGCACAGCACTGCACATCCAGCACTCAAACTACACACCAAGTTCTGCAAGGGAGCATCCCCACAAAGCTCCCAGCAGAGCCACCCAGTAACGTGATCCTTACAGAAATACTTCTGCCTTCTCCAAAAAGTTTACTAACCCAAATGCAACCCAGGACCGACAGCAGTTTCTCTCCCATAAAACCACCGTGCTGAGATTTCAGAGGATGGAGGAGCAAAGTATGAAAACTTTTTGCCAAACATGCACTTCCAGTAACACCACCAGAGCTCAGTGTCTGTTTTAAGCCTTTGTAAGACATATTAACTGACAGAACCTTGAAAGACAAGCTATTTCATGTCATTTTTTGGAAAATATGAAGCTGAGCTCTTGGGAACTGAGTCCTCCTTGGCCTTTGGGGCAGAATGGAAAGCAGGATGGATGTCAGCACCGCAGCCTCCCTACCCCAGACTCACACAGCACAGGAGATGCCATGATGCTGCATATACTCACACTGGTTTATGAAGAAAAACATAAATTACTTGCTACAGGAAAACCAGTGCAGTGAAGTCTATCACAGCATAAAATCCCAGTGCAATGAAAACAGCCCTCCCTGCAGTGAGCTGGGTTTGTCTCCACCCAACACCATCACCCCACGCCAGTTGCTGCATTTGTTTCCTGGGGGTCATTTTGGCAGCACCACAAAGGCACAGCCAGGGCACGGAGGGCACCTGAAACAGCACACAGTCATGCTCCTGCAAGGGCTCCATCCTGCACGCTTGTCCTGATGGAAAAATCTAGTAAAATTCTTTGCTCGACAACAGCAGCAATGTTTAAGGGCAAAACATATATTTTTGCATCTATAAATGATGATGAATCCATAAACAAATCTAAATGATTTTCACAGTGCTGCCTTTAGGAGGAAACACTCTTCTTGAAACACCGTATTTTATTTTGTGATGAGCTTTCCTCACATACAAACTGTTCATTCGGCAACAGCAATCAGATAACAAACAACAGTACGTTCCTGAAGAGCCCTCTGCTCTTTTTGTCACCTTTTACCAACATTCTCACATTGTCCGTGACCAACTCAAAGCTCTGGACCTCAAAATTCTCAGCACCTCAGAAGGAGCACAGTGGAACAGCCACTACCCAGCTTGCCGCTTCAGCTCAGCTTTCATTTCCCTCAGCCCCTGCAGCTCCTTCTGGAGGTGATTCACAGCCTGTAGAATATCCTGTCGCTGGGGATCATCCTCTGCTTTCTGGGTGTAGAGGAGGAAATGTTTAACGGTTTCGGAGAGCAACGCCTCGGGGTCCTCACCCACCCGATGGAGACGCAACATCCTCTCGCAGGCTATCGCGTAGTTTTTGTGCCAGTTCACTGGGTGATGTGGATGAGAGCTGACAATTTCTTTGTACGACTGTTAAATGGCAAAAAAAAAAAAAAAGAAGAAGAAGGGGGACAAATTAAGCAAACAAAGGGGACCAACAGCTCTTAACAGTGCTTCAGAACTGCCCATAAAGGAACAGATGCTACTAAGATGTCTACATCATCCAGAGTCAGAGCATTTCTGAAACACACTGTGTGTTTGCCATGTGATGTGTGGTAGTGTGAATCCAAAATCCAGGGATTTTGTGCAGCAGCTGTTTGTTTAGAAACATTACAGACAATCGAGATAACCCCAGAGCACATTATGCCCTTCCCCAAGAGGGAACCAAGCTGGGCAAAGACGGATTTCCCTGCTGCGCCTGCGAAAACACTGACTCAGTGTTCCAGGAGATCGAGACACCTTCAACAGGATGTGAGCAGTTTGAATCATAGAATGGCCTGGGTTGCAAAGGAGCACAGTGATCATCTCATTTCAACCCCCTGCTATGTGCAGGGTCACCAACCAGCAGCCCAGGCTGCCCAGAGCCACATCCAGCCTGGCCTTGAATGCCTGCAGGGATGGGGCATCCACAGCCTCCTTGGGCAACCTGTTCCAGTGCCTCACCACCCTCTGGCTGAAAAACTTCCTCCTCATATCCAACCTAAACCTCCCCTGTCTCACTTTAAAACCATTCCCCCATGTCCTATCTCTATCCACCCTCATAAACAGCCATTCCTCCTCCTGTTTACACACTCTCTTCAAGTACTGAAAGGCCACAATGAGGTCTCCCCGGAGCCTTCTCTTCTCCAAGCTAAACAAGCCCAGTTCCCTCAACCATCCTTAACAGGAGAAGAGTTTGCAGAGGAGGGTTTGCTAAGTGGCAATATTGGTAAGCTCAACATCATGCCTGGGAACTTCGCGGAACAGAACAGCAAAAATGACAGCAAAATGGGCAAAACTTTAAAGGAAGCTATTTACAGACTGTTTGCTGGGGTATAAAACATCTCCTCTCTGCTGACACACACTGATCATTTCGTGCATCTGCTGGCATCTCTGGCAGTGCAGTATTTATTGAGGTACCTACACCAGCTTACGTGTGTCATTCTCTGCTGTGAAATGCAGCAGAATTAATTTGCAGTGAGAAGACTGTCGGATTTTACACTTGCTGGCTCAGATGCAAGACTGTGTAATGACAGAGAGGACAAGTGCATAGAGGGGACTTTAGGACAAGCAATCTCTTGGCATGGGTTTGGAGCCCAGCGCAGACAACATAATTATAGCAAAAGGAGGGTGTTGACTGGTTAGCTTTTGGCATCCTCTGTGACCAAGAGGGCAAGCAGGAATGGATAAAATCCCTGAACAAATCTCTTTGAATCTGCTATGCTCCTGATTTGGATGAATGAGAGAGAATGCAGATTACAGGACAGCCTATCTAGATACACTGTGATATTTCCATGTGGTCAAAAGAATTAAAAAAAAAAAAAAAATACGACTTACAGTGTATGCCAACGTGTACAGCTGTGCTTTCATTTCTGCAGGCACACTGGCAGTTTCTGCAAGGCCAAATATAAAGAAAGCTGTTTTCATCCTAGGAGAATAAGAAAATACTTTATAGCAACTGCTTAACATGACCAGCTCACATCTCCTGATCACATCTTCAACATGTCCATAAAGCTCTTTAATTGTATGGGACAGTAAACAAGACTTTTTCAAGTCATTAGTGAAACAGATTTCTTTCCAGGGTATGCCCAAACTATCCTCTGTTCTTCAAGATGCTTTGAGCAGAACCTTTAGGTGAATGAAACCACTGTTTTCCTTCTGAAGTTTGGCACATTATGATCCAATAAGGCTGTGCACTATCAAGCTGCCTGCTTGATAGCGTATGTGTGTATTTCCACGCACTGGAAAGCAAAGGAGCATCACCTGGCTTGCCACATCTCCTCATTGGCGACAGCTTCCCAGGAAGAGGGCTTGAAACTAAACGGGAATTAAAACAAAATTCAGCCATCAGATCCATGTCATTGTGTTTTGCTTACTGCACAATCATCCCTTCTAACCCACGCAGTGACAGACCTCCCAGGCAGCAGAAAACCTGTCATGAAGCCTACGGCTCTGACAGCAGGGAATTCAGCTGATCCTCAGTCATTCATAAAACTTTATCCCTCTCCCTGCACAGGGGGAGCCTCTGGTGTTTACATCAGGTGTTTCACAGCATCCCAGCTATCCACAAAGTGAGAGATGATTTTTACCATTCCATCATAGCTCAGTCTACAACACTTAAAGCTTTGGGTGTCCCGTGTCTTCAATGGTTTTGGGCTCCCAATCAAGTTTTAGGATCAGAATTGGACCTGACAGTTGACTAGAAACATCCTCACCATTTTTAACACTAGCAAAAAACAAAAAAACAACACATGCAGAGATATTGTGTGTTCCAAAACACAAAGCATTAAGATTAAAGCTCACATTTAATTTCTCTAACACTGCAATGAATGTGGTCATGAGGAATAGCAAGCAGGAAGGCACAGAGCTGTGCCTCTGCCTCATACCTCCCATATTCTTCAGTCCAGTTATAGAGATTTCTTGTCAGACGAATCCACTCCTCTGGGTCAAAGACAGCATCAGAAGGAACCAATTTCTCACAGATACCCCATGGCCAAAGCGAGTAACTCCTCTTCCAGGTTGAGTCCCCTTCATGAAGACCTATGCAGACAAACACTTCTTTACTGCCAAAAAAAGGAACAGAGAGAGGAATGTTGAAGCCACGTCAGAGGCCCTGGGCAATCCCACGTGCTTGAGCTGCCCATCCACCCCAGGTTGGTGCAGCAGACAGGTTTCAAGAAGCACAGCTGTAGATGTCTCTGTTCAGTGCGGGGGAGCTGAACTAGATGACTGTTAAGAGTTCCTTCCAACTCAAACAAATCTATGATTCTATTACTTTCTGCAGCACAGGTACCCATCCAGAGCATCTCACATCACAATGTGCACGTCTCTGGGGCACTGCAGAACAGCTCTGCAGGCAAATACATACCCCCATGGTACTGCACACCTCGTGCACCAGAGCAGGAGGGACCTCCAGGGGAGATGCCCTCTCTGTGCCACACCTTACCTCCGTGCCAGAAGCAGGAGAAAAGCCCACTTCGTCCCAATGGCACCTGGCCCTGCTTCTCTGCCTCCCCACGCTCGCCCCAGCTAGTCTAAATGCAGATGCTATTCTTATTCATGGGAGTATCTAATCCTTTCTCCACTCTTACTAAGCTATTTTTATATGATGATTATTCCTGGAATACATTCATTCTATGCTAATCACTTGGCCACAATGTTCAGGAAGGAGAAGCTGCAGCAATTTACTCTCCAACCATCATCATTTTGAGTACACAGGAATGTTTCCTTTTTTTTTTTTTTTTGTGACAAATTGTGTCAGCAAAAGAAAAAAAAAATCCATAAATATTCTCTGCCAATCACTTTCTTATTTTTCCTTCCTAAAATCCAAACTTACCTCAAAACAACGAGAGTATTATACCTTGTTCAGCAAGATATAATATTGTTCAACAACACTGAACAACATTATATCTGGATGGAGTTACTTCCGCACAGATATTTGCTTTAATTGCAAAAATAATCTCACCACTGGGGAGGAAGTCAGTAGAGAAAATTGGTCTTTTGGATGCAGCACCAAGCTGTTCCATAAACAATTTCAAGAGAAAAAGGTTGAAGATTTTAGGAAAGCTGTTACATATGAAAGAAATGCTTACTGTTTATTTGCTCTGAGGAAACGGTGGAGATTAAAAGCAAGTTTCCCATCGGGTAATATTCCTTCCACAGGGTTCCAACGGTTTCCAGGAAAATGAACACCAGGTAAATGCTTTGCCAGTTTGGGTAAATACCATTCATAAGTCATCATCTATCACCAAAAACATTATCGTAATTAAAACAAGGAGCACGGTTTCCATCCATTTTACACCAGCAGTTGTAGAAATGCCTTCCATGTGAGTAATGATTCCATTTATTCAGTAAGGGTTTCCTTTCATTTCAGCAATGGCCCGGGACCATGCCATCAGATCAGACCAACAGTGGCTTCTACTTGGAGAAATGTCATTACCACTGAGGAGGAAAAAGTCTACAGAAACACAAAATAGCTACAGCTGTGAGAAGACACAAGAGAGCTTTGGTTACTCAGGAAAAACAACCACAACCACTACCCCACGGGACACAGCATCTTCATTTGAATTAAAAGAAAAAAAAAAAACAAGTCTGCAAAAGCACCTTTGGTGGACCCAATGTGACAAAAGATAACACAGGAGACCTCAGGAAATGTGCCCCAACATGGCAGAGCCCTTGAGAGAAAGCCCAAAGTCCCACTGCCCAAGGGCTGCTGGCTGACTCTCAGCCCTCCAGACTGCTCCCAACATGCAGTTTTCTGAAAACAGAAAGGGTGAAGCTTTCTCAGCAAGGTAAACATCAACCCTGTGCAACAACTGGATATCTGCCATGTTGCCTCATTCAGTATCACCTTCTGAACCTACCTCTTGGTCCACTAATGTGATATCTGGCCTCACTCCTTCAACATAATGCAGGTAACGAAGGGTGTTCCCAGGTAAGTCTCCTCTTAGCAAAATCACTGCACCCATTGGCATAGAGGACAGCAGGTTTCTTGCAAACTTATCAACAATGTAATTGTTGCTCTGATCACAATCACTGAAGAAAACAGATGAAAAAGAACATGTTAAAGCCAGGCACTTGCATGGTTTTGCCCATCTTTAGAACTATTTTATGCAATAGGCATCCAGTGGCGAGGTCCTTCCCCTTGGTCAGATCTGGCTGAAAAGCATCATCTCCACTTAGAAGATATAAACATGAAGCCTTTAGATTACTGTCCCCCAGAAGCTAGAACAAGAGACATGCCACTATGGTTTTGCAGAAATACACACACAGTGAATGCATTCATCTTAATTCTGATCTTTTTTTTCTAATTTTTCTTCTTGGGCTAAATGTAAAGATTTGGAGCTGGAAGTGCCAGTACATAGTAAGTATTTGAAACTCTCCCTATCCTTTTAACACTTTTAATTAAGCTGAGCCAGTGGGTGTGCAAAGCAGGAATTTCTGCCTATGGAGCCTCTGAGCTCAACACTTCACCAGTTGGTCAACCTCCACCTGAGCAGCCCTACGACTATACTGATTTTTACCTAACCCACTGCAGAGTTCTCAGCGTGGTTATGGAATAAGGAAGCCTTACGTGATAAGATGTAATTCATTTTAAAAAAGAAAGAAAAACTAAGAAGAAATACCGGGAAACTTGAAGCAAAGCATGAGAAGGAGAAGGTGATGCCCCAGAGGATGTCTTACCTATAGTTGGCCCAAACTCGAGCAGCAACGAGAGCCCCAGCACAAAGCCACTCCAGCCATGGCAGCACCCGGCTGCCCTGCAGCACAGCACCTCCGAGGGACACGAGAGCAGCCAGCCCCAGCCCTGCCAGCACAGCCACAGCCACATTGCTCTGCATCCAGAACCGCTCCACCTAGGACAGAAGGTGGCTTATGCCAGCTGATGTGGTAATATGCAAGTCTACACTTTCGGAGTGGGATAGTCTCCAAGCTGAAAAGCTCACAACTGAAGGGCAGATAGAGATAAGGAAAGGAAAAGTTTCTTTCCTTTATTCATAGAATGGCCTGGGTTGAAAAGGAACACAATGATCATCTAGTTTTAACCCCCTGCTATGTGCAGGGTCGCCAACCAGCAGCCCAGGCTGCCCAGAGCCACATCCAGCCTGGCCTTGAATGCCTGCAGGGATGGGGCATCCACAACCTCCTTGGGCAACCTGTTCCAGCGTGTCACCACACTCTGTGTGAAAAACTTGCTCTTAATTCTTCCTTTTAAACATACATTATCTATCTACATACCCAGAGACCATATTTATGCTTCCCCAGCTAAAAGGGAACAGAAAATGTAGCTGCATGCTTGCACCCTGTGCATCTCCAAGACAACCACCTGCTCTTGATTCGCAAGGGACCCAACAGCCAACGAAGCATGAAGGAGGCTGCTTCCAAAAACCAACACCCCAGAGCAATTTTCAGAGTGAAACTTACCACTCCCAGAAACAGAGGCTTTGTAACATCCAAATTTGCTCTCCAGGCAAAAAAGAGTGAATAAACACAGAGCATTCCAGCGAAGAGACAAATCACGGGTGATTTCTGTTGCTTTATCCTATAAAAAAATAACGTAGCACTATAGTGGCAAGATCAAAAGTAGGAAAAAGTTGTGTGTGCATGAAGACAGCTGTCTCTCTGCATATCTGAATGTGTTTAATGCAAGGTGCTGGTCGGTTTTTCTTTACTTTTGCAATTTATGAAACTTCTGTTTTTTAGAGCATGCAGCCATCAGGACCTCAAGATTTTTAAGGCATCTACAGAGTCACAGGGTAATCAGGTGCAGGGCTGTTTTGCTCTTTGACAATAACACAGGATAACAGCTGAAATTTCTGCCCAAGGAAGCAGAATAGCTCCATGTGGCACACGACAGAGAAAGTACATAAAGCTCATGGTTGGCCAGTAAGGAAATGCAGGTGGGAGTGAATAATCCCCTCCAACTTACGGCAGTGCTGTGCTGAAACAGGCCATGAATGCCAGGGCAAGGACAGGAAGGGACAGCTCCGACCTCATCTGCTCCAGCTGGAAGCTGTGGGGAAATCAGTGCATGTATGCATGACCCTCAACACAGTGCCTGCATTCAGTGCAGTGAGAAAACAGGGCAGCTGTATGGCAGCACCCCTGTTCTGCTGGGGTTGAGTCTACCAGAAACAGGAACAAGCCAGGATTGTGAATCCCCAGCAGTGGAATAGTCATGATTTTACTCACACCAGCATATCTCTCATACTGGATCCAGTCTCGGACTTGGCCTGGATTAAAAAGAAAGAAAAGCCATGAGAAATTCACACATTGATTGGGGAAAGGAAAAGTCTTTCCGCTTTCTGTCTGCAGAGCCCTGAGCGTAAAGGGCTGCTCTAGAGCTCCTTCAAATGGTACCACACTGATCACAGGAACAGGTATTGCTTAAGCAAAACCAAAGACAGCAAATGACTCGAACGTTCACTGCAAAATTTTCCTCCATTTTTTTTGTTTTACATTTTGCAAATGGTGCATGGTTCACCGCCCAGATGAACCCAACTCTTTACCCTGTGACCAGAGCACATCATATGGCTTAGCTGTGAGCTCCACTAAAAGTGCATGACTGGGGGCATCTCCCCACAGCCTCGGAGCATCAGGTGGGCCTCAATTTCTATTTCCTTACCTACTTGGAGAAGACTTCTAAGGTGAAGTCTAACCCTAACCCACCCCCATGATGCTCACTGCCCACATCCCTCTGTGCCACATCTCCACCATTCTTGAACACCTCCAGGGACGGTGCCTCCATCACTTCCCTGGCTATGATTCAGGAAGTCTGGAAGGTGTATTTAATCTCAATAAAAATGGAATAGTACATTACATTTAAAAAAATAGTTAAAAAGGTAAAAGTGTCAGAGGATGGCTGTGGCATTAGCTCAACCAGCATTAGGACCAAACACTCGGATTTTGCTGCATGTACTGCTCCAGTTTCAGACCAGTTCAACATAAATACAATTTGTGGTGTGGGATTACACACGGCCCATCCTTAAGCTTCCTGGACATCAATTTGAATCCATCAGATCTAGTGGAGAAAGCAGTCAAGGGATTTGTATACCTTGGTATTGCTCTGCCCAACAGAACCTAATTCTCAGGAGAGGTCTGGGAACAGAACAACAGGGAAGCCTCAGAAGTCCTTCAGAGGGTGGATCTTATCTCTGAAGGAGCACCATGCTACGTAAAACACAACCCTTTATTTTACTCCCAGCATTCTGCATAGAAAACTCTGAGACAGGATGGAAAGAAGAGGTGCTGGGCACTGCTCCCCTTGTGTAGCTGGAGCTCAGAACCCAGTTTGGGTTGGAGCAGAAAGATGCAAATCCTACTCTCTGCAAACAGTTATATCATATCTCCCTCTCTTTACAAGAGCACAAAGCAGACAGAATAATTCAGAGCAAAGGATTCTGAGGTTCCCCCAAACCTACCATTCATTTCAATGCAACATTACTGAGATGTAAGTTAGAGGAATCCCTTTTAAGGTTAAAGCAATGAAAAACTGCTTGCAGCCCCTTTCAATAGGTGAGTTTAAAATGATTAAAAAAAAAAAAAAGCCAAATATTTGTCTTAAAATAAGAAAAACACAAAACAGGTGTTGCCATTTCTCTCAAGGAAAGCCTTGGTCTTTGGGTTTTTATAAATATGATATATGTGGACAGCCCCTGGTAAATAATACGGCTCATCCCATAAAGACAAAGAGAATCAGGTCTTGCTTTCCCACCCATCTAACCCACACCCAGAAAATCTGACAGATCCAAAGGTCGAAATCAGGAAATTATTTTTAAAAGAAATTTCCAATTTTTTTTTTTTTTCTTTACTTCCAAGCTATTTAACACCACGAACAGAAAGGTTCTGCTACCGCATTACTCAAAAGAAAGCCTTGTAGGAAATGATCTTTATTTACCAGATTGAATGTCCCATATTCCTCCCTGAGAAAGTGGGTCAAAAATCCTTGAAAAGTCGTCTGGTCTCCCCATGTCCAACGGGCTCGATTGAGGTAGGACGAAGCCGGCAGATAGAGATAAGGCAGCAAACCAGCCAAGAAGCATAAACCCAACTTCAGCAAATGGCCTAGGGACAATTCCTGCACCAAAATATGTCATATTGCATAACAATGTTTATTTTAGTTTAATCACGCTGGAACTTCAAGAACAGATAAAGAAAAAACATCAAATATATTTACACAGAGCTGATCTCTCAATTTATAGTAAGTCCCTACAAAATGCTATGTTAAACCTTATGATTTTGTGGATTACTAGGAAACTGCATCAAACTGATCTCCTTTGCATGGCAGGGTGAAATTTAAGTGAAGCAAATAATATTAGCTAGGACTCATGAGTATCATACTCATTGCATCTTTCACATTTAAATCATGGCATGACATGCATAGATGGCTGAAGCACTGCAAGGCTGAGATAACCCACTTTGCAGTGATTAAGAGTTGGCTGGTATTCCATCTGGCAAAAAAAAAAATGCTGCTCTAGTACAACTACACACATCATCACCATCATCAGGAGTCAGTTTTGCCATTTACTTTATCATGATTACACTGGCTAAATTGGATAGGCCAACTTTTGGGGTGGGATTTTCAAGATTGCCTAAGGGGTCAGGAAGACAAGACTTTCAAAGGGACTTCTGTGCCTAACTCCTTTAAGTGCTTTGGAAAATCCCACCCTAGAATATTGCACGCTTGCTTTATCATTAGCCACCGTCCTGTCAATCAAATACTTGTTCAGAATTTGGGGTTTTGTGGAATAGACACCATTCAGCATTCAGAGCAACGACCTACAGAGCAGAGAAAGTAGCCTGATAAAGTTGGTGGCCAAAATTTCTTTAGAAGACTGGCGATTTCTTAAATTGATTTTTAACTGAAAGGCACTGTTTTTGATCAAATATCTTATTATTAGGTGGCTTTCTGCAGCATGCTTTCCTGTTCCCAGGAACATTATGTTGCAGAAGCATTCTCCCTGCTGGAAATCACAGAGATCTGTGCACCTCCCTGGTTAAAAAACAACAACTGTCTTTAAAGAAGAAAAATACACTGCATGAACCATCACTTTGTTAAAGGAAACAGGAAATCTGCAGGGCTTTTGCTAGAAGCACTGGACTTTTGCATCAAGCTTGTATGAACTGCATCTTATCTCTTGCTGCTCACACACTTCACTCTAGGCTTAGCTATAAGCTGTGCCACTGTGTAGAACCACACCTGATCTGCCAGGCTAAGTGTGTAGAAATACAAGCAGGAGCATCCCAGCACAAAGCTGCCCAACTGTCATCTAAAGGTAGAAGGCAGAAGGGTACAGGTGGAGGTTTCTCTGTGCCACTTGTAAAGTGATATTAGTACCTAAATCTTTTGAGATATGCAGCACTTTTCAGAGCAGAGTTCCTACAACATATCTGCACCCAGCCCAACAAAGCCATCTGCAGAAGACCACCTACATCTGACAAGAGCACTGCAAAGTCCCTAAATGTTACCATGGAACCTCATCCAGATGGATGCACATCACCTTCCTGAGCCAGGTATGCAAAAAGGTCTTTTCACCTTATTCAATTAATGAGCTTAACAAAGAGGTGTGAAATGAGGGACATCCTGAGAAAGGGATCTTCTAGTAGATGACATGGAAGCATTTCTGGGTGTTCTGTTCTTGTTTGAGCAGGGGCTGGATCAGAATCATTTGAGTAGGAAGGGAACTTTAAGGTCATCTAGTCCAACTCCCTTGCAATGAACGAGGAGATGACCTCCAGAAGTCTCTTCCAACCTCCAATCACTCTGTGATTCCAGGACATCTGACCACTTCAGGGCTTGTTGTTCACTAAAGGTCAATTTTGCCTTGGTCTTCTCCAGCTGGCACAAGCCAGGCGCCTCACCTGAGAGTTCATAGAGTCATGGCTTGTGTTGGAAGGGAGCTCAAGGATCATCAACCCCCCTGCCATAGGCAAGGTTGTCAGCTGCTAAGTCAAGTACTAGATCAAATTGCCCAGAGCCTCATCCAACCTCGCCTTAAACACCTCCAAGGATGGGGCATCCACAGCCTCTCTGGGCAGCCCGTTCCAGCAACTCAACACTCTCTCAGTGAAGAACATCTAATCTAAATCTCCTTTCCTTTAGTTTAAAACCATTCCCCCTTGTCCTATCACTACCTACCCACGTAAAAAGTTGATTTCCCTCATGTTTATAAACTCCCTTTAAATACTAGAAGGCCTCAGTGAGGTCTCCCTGCAGCCTTTTCCAGGCTGATCGAGCTCGGTTCCTTCAGCCTGTCTTCATAGGAAAGGTGCTCCAGCCATCAGATCATCCTCATGGCGCTCCTGAACCTTCTCCAAAGGAGCCTCTTGCAAGACTCCAGTCCTAGCAGTGCCAGAGCTGGAGGCAACCAAGCCTGGCATATCTCAGTGGCATGCTGAAGAGAACTCCATGAGATCAGCACCGGCAGCATCCTTACACTGGGCTGCTAATTCTTTGCGTCTTTGCTGACAGCAGTCACACAACAAGTATGTGGACAACACACACAACTTGTGGACAACAAGTCAATGCAGCTTTCATTTGCTATCACCAGGGAATCAACACAAAGAAACTCATCTCCAGTCATAAGCCAGTGCCTTAAAGCAAGCTAAAACAGCTGTGAGTCAGCAAAATACGCACCGTCTTTCTGAAGAGCAGGAAGAGAACCCAAGGTACAATACAAGCAATATAAAGCACTATCGTGTGCTGATTGCACAAACTGAGGCCGCAGCAAAAGGCACCAAGCTTGGCGATCTGGAAGGGAAAAAAAAAACAAGAAACACCTCGTAATTACTCTTCACAGTTTGCAAAAAGAGCCACACGCCAAAGCAGCATCGATGCAGCCCACAGCAGATGTAGAGAATGAGTCAAAACACACCTGTGAGCACTGGTTGGTTGTAATACCAACAACGCAGGTGACTTCAGTTAATTTTTATGCCATAAAAATAATTATGCCATAAAAATAATTATGCCATTTCTATGTATGAAGATATAATTTTATGTAACAGGAGTTAATTCTTCCCTCTTCTGCAGGCACAGATGGCTAAAGTCAGGGCCACACAAACTTGCTAAGCAAAGGGAATTAAAAACAGTATCACCCAAGAGCATAATTCCATTTCAGAGTTTGTTTTCTGATAACAGAGGTAGTGTGTCCAGACTATGCAGGGTATTGCTTGTACTCACTGAGGATTATTTAGCTTTATTACCAGCACTGTGATCATCCTGGGCTGATGCTACAGAAAGCATCTCTCCACCCTAAGTGGCCGTAAGCTCTGCTCAGTCCTGCTTATTTCAGTCACTAGTGACAATGGCATGTGAGGTGTAAACATTTGCCTTCATGTGGAGATGGGATCACCCGGTAGTTTTTAATTAGAATTTAACACTGGATGTTGCTTTGTCAAAGAAAAACCTGCTATAACTTCAAAAAAAAAAAAAACCTTTGTGGTCTTCAGAGCTGCCCTGCAGGATGTGGGACACCTCAGTACTTCTTTGAGTATATTGGTGAACTCCAAGCACACTGCTAAAGATGTTTCAGGCTGGATATTAGGAAAAAATTCTCAGCAAGAGTGAGCAGGAACAGAGAGGTGGTGCAGTCACCATCCCTGGAGGTGTTCCAGAACTGTGGAGATGTGGCACTGAGGGCAGTGGGCATGGTGGGAATGGGTTGGGAATGGACTTGGTGATCTTGGAAACCTTTTCCAACCTTAGTGATCCCACAATTCAATGCTAGCAAGAAAGTCAGATTTCTGAAAAGTGTTGTCAACTTGCTGTTTGTAGCCTGACCTCTTTGAGTTGTAGGGTGCTGGACACCCCAAAAAAAAAGGAAATAAGCTCACTGACTACTTCTGGAAAACTCATTCGAAAATCCCATTGGAAACTGGGTGCGCCAGGCACGGGAGCAGCTTGGAAAATGCCCAACTCCATCTCCATGGAGTCCAGTCTCTAGGGATCTTGGGACAGAATTGAGTAGAAAATAGGAAAAAAATAAATAAATCCAGTGATGAAACAAGGCTTCTCTAGCCAGTGACAAAACGTGTTATTTGATCACTCGCAAAGCTGAGTAAACTACCACTGTGGGCTCCTGAAATTCTAGGTTAGCCTAACAAAAATCCTTTTATTCACACAATTTATAGGAGTCACAGCAGGCAAGTCAGTAAGTAGAGAGGAGATCAGATGTTCAGGCAAAGCAAAGTAGAAAGAACAAGACTGGTGAGTAAAGCCATCTGACCGCCTGGTCTGCTCCCAAAGTAGTGAATACAGCATGAATTGTCTCTGTATTTAATAATGGCATTATTTTGGGGTACTTTTCATTTCAAAAGAGTATACATTGAACTGCACAGAACTGACAGAAAAATTGGCCGTTTCTGTTTTTCATTAGAAACGTGGGATTCTGTCTAGATGAATTTTTCTGTAAGACGTATCTATTTACCCTTGGGGAAAAATAACAGTTCTACCAACAAAACCTTGAACACTCACAGCCTACTTTGAGTCTTTGATGCAGAAAATTAAACTTTGTGCTAAAACATTTAGATGAAAACGATTCTGCTTTTTCCATTCCTATCCTCTACGTGTAAAGCAACACAAAAATGCCCATCCAGCGTGTCCCAACAAAACCCTTAAGCAACGTGCACAGATTTTTAAATGTTTGGCACTTCTGAAAATGCAGGTGGGTCAAGGATCAACACCGCTGAACCCAGCCCCAAAACCTGCCCTCCTTTGCTTAACAAAACTGAATCAGGACTAAATGGATAGGAAATTAAACAGACTCGTCATAACTAATTGAAAAATAATAATAATAAAAAACTATTCACTTTGCTTGAGATGCTTTACCTTTGATCTCTCTTTTGCAGTGGATGCCTCCTCAAAATGCACGGTAAGAGCCATAAGCAGCCCCACAAACAGATTGTTTAAGCTAAAAACCTCCGCCGTGATGGACCACTGCCATGTTAGACGAGAAAATGAAAACACCCCCGCAGCAAGGATTCCTCCAGCATATGAGCCAGAAAGCCTGCAAACACAGATAACATGAAATCTTCTTTTCCAACAAAAAAAAAAAAGAGCCTACTTTATTGTCCTTTTTTTTTTTTTTTTTTTTTTTTTTTAAACACTGTAGCAGCAGAAATTATGACTGCCACCCAGCATCCTTCCAAAACATCATATGGTTAATATATCCCTAATAATTTCTTTGCAGAGAATTGCAATTAGGAAGAGCACACCTTAGCCATCCCATGTGTTTGCAAGGCACCAAATAGTGAACGGCTGGCGAGCCAAGCTGGCTTTTTCTCCACAAACGCCACAAAAACTCCCAGTATTCAATTCAGTTCCAAAACCTTGATGAGCAATGACACAGCAGGTCATGGTAGGCTGAGCCAGAGAGTCATGCCTTTAACGGGATGCTCTGTGCTGGAGGACACATGAGCAGTGATGCAGCCTTAAGTTCATTGAGGCCCCGCATAAAGAGTGGATTAGAGCTATTCATGATGGACAGCATTAGCAGAGCTTCCCTAAGGGAGGTTGGACTGTCTCAAGGTTGGGCAGGGATTGCAGCACCCATAGCCCTGGGATGGAGAGGCACCCACCAGGGAGTGGGAAAGGAGACAGTGGGTGCCATCTGCAGCTAGATGGACTTCAGCTCTTGTTCCCAAAGGAGCCGGATGTTGCAGGTAGCCTGGGGAGCCCAGAGGTCGGATTCAGCTCAGGAATCCCATTGCACTCACTCTGCTGGTTGCATTATGGGCTCTGCTCTTTGGAAGCATGGTTTTTTGGGAGGTCTGTCCTATAGGAAGTTACCCTGGAGAATGGGATGGAGGGCAGCACAACCAGTTCAGCCACGTCTCATCCAAGGACCGATAGCTGTGACTACGGTTAAAGCTGCTCTCTAGAAAATCACAGGCTCTATACAGACTGGTATTTTTCTAATCCCACCCCAGGTATACATATTTCCATTTAGATATAATATTCCTGGCAGGTTTAAAACAAAAATAGCATACACTAGTCAACCTCTTCATCAAGCTGAATCATCAGCTTGATCATCAATACCTGAACACTGATCGTATCCCCTAGTGCAACCACAGCAGTGTCCCCACATGGTTTGTTCTGCCTATCAAAGATTGGGCACCCACATAAGAGCAGCTTATGGAGTTCCTCAGAGAACGTAACTGAGATAAATGGAGACGAGCAAACAAAACCTACAGCCCTTGCAAACAGGGACAAGAGGGATTTGGGGAAAGCACTCTCTAGTAAGGGCTCCTCTCCTTCATCATAAGTTTCTTCCACTTTCACAAAACAAACTAAGGTCTTCCAGCAGGCTGAAAAGCTGATACATTTCTGTAGATGTCAGAGAACTCACACAGTTAAAACTGGAAGCTGTAAACCATTAAAAATGAGGTAGCATCCATGGGGAGAAGACAATTAGCATAAGGAAGTGGAAAGATCCGATCTTCATTTCTCCTCCTAACATGGGAGATGCTGGATGGCCTGTGGCTGCCCCAAAGACATCTGCAAAATAGAACTCATTTACCTTCTTTGTAAAGATCTGCGACTGCAGGATATCGCAAGACACTTCCAGCGTGTGAACTTCACACAGTTCTACACAGGTTTGGGCATTCAGCACAAAAACATCCCAGAAAAAAAGCTGTCACTCAATACCCATAGCACTCAGCAAAATAAAAGCCACGTTACGACTATACTGCGATAAAGAAGTTGCTAGTTAAGTGTTTTCTGGCATGGAATTTCATCTCGAAATCTTCAATAAATTGAATGCATGCTCACAAGTAACTGAAGGTGCCAACCATTACAGGTTTTCCACCAGCATTAATACGAAGTTTCAAGTCACACAACCACACAGAGAAGAGGTTTTCGCAGGCATCAGTGCTGCTCCATTGATCTTCCTACCAAGCCAGCCTAACATGACAGACTTTCCTTTCCCTTAACCAGCAAAAAAACTTATAAAGAAATGGGGTTGTAAATCCACTTGAAATTCTTGCAGGGAAACACAGTAGAAAAGATAAAACAACTTTCTCAAACACCGTGGGAAAGAGAAGCAGAATTTTAGGCAATCTTCTCAATCATTTACCAGTTTTCTTCATCTTTCCTAGAAAAGACTCGAGCATCTTAGTAGAGTTCAAATGAGATTAAAGACCTTCCATCCCCTGATAAAAAGTCTCAAACCTACGCTTCAAGTTTTATAAAACCAGGCTTATGCAAAAGTTACTCAACTCAAAGCTCAAAGCCTCATCCCAGCTTTGTAGGCAGGGGACACCCCTGCTCACTATCCAGCCCCCAAGTAGTGCAGGTTCAGAATCCAGCACTGGGCACAATCCACAGGCTTTTAGGAAGAAGAGCTGACTTCATCTTTCATTTCCACTGAAACTCTCAGGAAAAGCTTCCTGCTAAGTTCACTCTGTGAGAACATGTTGTGTGCATGGAGCACTAAGCTCCTACAAGTGCACCAGGTGCTTAAGAAAAATAAAAAAGACAAAACCGTATGGGTGTGCGCTCAACTGTCTAAGAACATCACAAGAGCAGCTTTGGGAAATGCACAATGGAGACCAAGAGCTTTTTCCAAATTCTGTTATCAACAATGGGAATGATGGAACGGGTGTTTACGAGGGTGAATAGTGATAGGACAAGGGGGAATGGTGTTAAACTGAGACAGGGGAGGTTTAGGCTGGATATTAGGAGGAAGTTTTTCAGCCAGAGGGTGGTGAGGCACTGGAACAGGTTGCCCAAGGAGGCTGTGGATGCCCCATCCCTGCAGGCATTCAAGGCCAGGCTGGATGTGGCTCTGGGCAGCCTGGGCTGCTGGTTGGCGACCTGCACATAGCAGGGGGTTGGAACTGGATGAGCATTGTGCTCCTTTGCAACCCAGGCCATTCTAGGATTCTATGATTCATTTACAACTGATGATTCAGAAGAAAACACTCTGAGAAGTGGAAGTGATAAAATCAGGTATTTCCAGAGAAGACCTAACTGGCAGAAAATAACACACCAAGCAGCTCTGCTCAGCACAACAGGTGACAGAGCAAAGCAGCAGCAGCAGAAATGAATCCCACACAGCTATGCCACACAAGGCTGGTCCCAAATGCAATGAAACCTGCCTTGTGGCTGAGCTAACGTGACCCACATGAGGATTCCTACATACCTGGTAGTGGGAGAGGCATGAAGATAAGAATAAAATAGAGAAAGGAAGAACTGGAAGAGCAAAAGGACGGGGACTGGACTGGAGGTCATGAAACTAAGAAGCATGAAAGCATGAAACTAAGTTTCACGAAGCATGAAACTAAGAGGATGAAAGGATTTGCAAAGCAGGACTGCAATCTACAAGTGAAGATGCTGTTGGTGACAACATGTTGCAGGCAACAACTCCTTTAAAGGCAGGAACAGATGGTATTTTAATGACTAAGCCAGAGTATGGTGTGGAACAAGGTGAATATAAGAGATGAAGGAGATATCCTATAACTGCAGCAAAAGCTCAGAAACAACCAGCCTACTAACTGGAACCTTACAAACATGGGCAGAAACTCCCATCACCTGATAACATGCTATGAGGGACAGGAACAGTCAGCAAAGAAGAATTCACACAGTCCTTTGTGAGAAGTATTTTCCCATGGCAGCCCTAAACATAAAAGAATAAAAAAAAATATTTAGTTTTCAGAAACAAGAATATTAGAATGTGTGCCTGGGCTTTAAATCCAACGACATGGGCAATACAGACTACTTTTAGCCAGGAGTATGGGGGCTGCAGGTTTTTATTAGGAGTTAAAACAGCAAGGAGAACTCAGATTAGATGTTTTAATGTGTCTTTGCAAGGTTTTAGCTTTTCATCTGTGGGTAATCTCTATGATGTGTCAACGTGCAATTCAACATTCAGCCTCTGTCCTAAGTTTGGTAGAACTTTCCCTAAGCTAAGAGTATAGGTTCTACCTATACTGAGTTAGCAAAATACTTAGCTGCTGTTTATTTAAAAATTAATGCCTGAAACTTTGTATTTAGTCATTTGCAAGAAGTTATTAAACGATTTGGGTAAAGCTATATGGGTATGGGAATTGAAACTTAACTGGAATGTTTTAGTTAAATACAATCTTCAGAGCAGTGGCTTCTTAAGAAAAGTCAGCTAATCAAACCACACTTTATATTTGAAGCTAATGTATTAAACACTGGAAACACCTATCTACTAAAATAAGCTGATTATTTCTGCCTTCTGTTTCCTCCAAAACTTTAGAGGGTAGCAGATCTGTTTCAATTTTTCTTTTCCAGCACTCTCGGTATAAGGAACAACTCTCTTGCTTTTAACCATCTCCATCACTGAATGGATTTTTTTCCATTTTCTTTTCTCCCTGCTAAAGGGAAGCTAAAGAAGAAAGGGAAGCCAAGTTTCCACCAGTCTTATTCTAAATGTCCATTCTAATCAAAAGAACTACTTTTTAAGGAGAAAACAAATAAAAATCAAACATGAATTTAGGACCGAAGTGTTGATAATCACCCCCCAAACGCCAGTCCCTCTGGATCTGCCTGTCACAAACACTCAGCAGACAAAAGCCAGTTTCTCCTGCTCTCAGCCCTGAAGAGCCAGCGCAGGTACTACAGGGAATAGCAACCCAGATTTTATTCTTCCTTAAGGACCTCATGCTCAAGAGCCACTTGAGCTGTGCCTGCAGCCTCCAATCCCAGCACTGGAGGAGGAGGCAGCACAGAACCCAGCTCGGTTCGCCCATCCTGATGGAGTCTTCACAGCCATGAAGAGATGATAATAACAAAAAACATGCAAAAAGGCAGGAACATCACAAGTGAAAAGAAGGGACTGTCAGGACTGGCTGGGAAGTACTGATGCAGGAAGAATTTTGGCTAAGGGAGATGGTCCTGCCCGCATCCTTTTACACAGGCCCTATTGGATGGGAGGCTTGCAATGAGGCCACCACCACTGCAGCTCTGTAGGGTCACACTGAGCTCCTGTAGGATGACCCCAAGTCCCCAGGATCAACATGCAGCCTTGAGCACTACCAGCAC